AGAAATAAACGGGTTTCTTGAGAAGTAAATGGGTTTCTTGAGAAATAAAGTGGTTTCTTGAGAAATAAACTGGTTTCTTGAGAAATAAACTGGTTTCTTGAGCAAAAAAAAAGTTTCTTGAGCAAAAAACCCATTTTTTTGTTCAAGAAACCCGTTTACCTTGATTGTATTATATTTTGATGCATAGTGATTATGCTTCAAATTTGACTTGGTATGACTGAAAGCTTAAGAGAGATTGAATTATTATTGACTAATTGATGACATGAAAGTTGTGGCTTTGTATGTTGGTTATACCAAGTCAGTACTAAATCAAAGGTGTCACAGTGAAGGATAGAAAAGTGATTCCCCTATAAACTATACCCAAGATATCAAAATTTATGTAACCTTTTACAAATGAAATGATTATATAAGAACTTTTGGTGTCTGATTTGTGTCACATTTCAACCTCTAAATGATAAACTGCAATTCTGAATAATATTTCACTATTTCAAATTAAATTAATGTATCTCATACCCCTGGAAAGTTGCACCGTCGGTACACCCTTTTAACAAACATTTACACCACAAATGGAATGAGAAATAGAGAGATTCAATTTTTAAGTCCATTCCCATAATTCAATCACCAATGTAATGCAAAAACTTGTTAAGTCCATCACTTTCCTCGCAACTGAGCTTCGCGGCTCGTGAGAGGGACATAACGAACAGAAAACCCGGTCCTTACGCTGATTGTGCCATCCGCATTTTTGTCCACCACTTTCAAGTCCTGAGAGCTTTTCCCAATCGGAATCACTAATCTGCCACCTGATTTCAATTGGTCGATGAGTGCCGGAGGGATCTCCGGCGTAGCTGCTCCAACATGAATGGCTTCGTAAGGCGAGGACTCCGACCACCCTTGCCGGCCATCTGAAGTATACATCAAATTAAATCATCTTATGAAATCTGAATGTGTTAAAAAGTGTTTAACCAACACTTTAAAACCAGAAAGCATTTCTGTGGATGTAACCATCATCAAAACCCATGCAGAAACTAATATCAAATGGATTGAAATACAAGAGCAAGAGAATGAGAAATAACATACCAACATCATGGATTGAGAGCAGTCCTTCTCTCAATAATGTGGCTGCTTCGCTCTTTTCGATATTCTTAACCGATGATTCAGCCAATTCAGGAATATGCTCTACGCCAACCACGCATCATAAGAGCAAAGGACGCAGTCAAATATCCTGTTCCTACACGAAAAATTTAACAAAATCTCAAAATTAAAGCTACACTTTGCAAGAACTGAAGCTAAATTGTATTTCATAATCTAATTTTTGGGCTAATCATGCTAACAATACTTTACAACAATATACATACACATATATGTGTGTGTGATCATAAATAATGGGCTGAGAAAAACTAATTTTCAGGTTTCACCATATCATAGATAAAATTTAGCACACTCTTGAGAATGTGGATGTAATTCAAAGTAA